AAGCAGCAATTTGGATACACCATTACTTGACCATTAACACCTGTTTGTGCACGGTGGCAAAGTTGGAGAATCTAGAGAAGAACTGGCTTCAATCAAGTACTAGTAAGTACTTTCTGTGAAATAAAACATGACAGAAAGCTTGCTGGTGTGTAAATACATGAAGTGAAGTACATTCACATTAATGGGTAATCAGGAGCAGAAGCAAGGAGTGAGGATGCAAATTGCAGTTCAAGAATCTCAAAGACCTTGGGAAAATTGGGATAGATCCAAGCATTGATGCCTACCAAAATAGAACAAATAAGCAAAGAGTGGTTTTTATTGCACAGTCTGTGGGTTGAGTGTTTAAATCACTGGGAGCCTATAGTAAGAATTTGGACAATATTTAACTGACTGGAAGCTGACTGATTTTTTCAGGCAGTGAGACACATGAATGAAGTTGCTGTATTTGAAGGAGACAGATTCCAAAGGAAACCCACACAGGAGAGTTGCATGCTCATGAGCATAAAATGGTATTCTTGAATATTGCTAAATTATTATGAAATCATTAGGGATGTCATAGCAGGGATCCTAAGGAGAAGGATTAACAATTCTACATTGCTAGTTCATATGGAAATGCTAATTCCACTTGTGAAAATAAAGTACAGGCATGGTATTATTATGATTAAGACCTTATGACTGCAGAAATGTAGAGTGGTATATTAATAATATTATAGACATGTTTAGCATAAAATGCAAGCAATGTAGCTAAATTAGTTGTACATTCCAGTCTGCATCTGGATTTCATGTGAGCCTATTACATTACAAAGCTAAACAGAAGAATAAACCTTTTATGCTTCTTAGGTTCTGAGACGTTAGCCAGTTTTTGTTTTTCCTTCAGCATTTGTCCCTGGAGAGTGCCAGAATCTTCTAAAGCCTCTTTTAGAAAGGCAGTATGTTATTTTAAAGTAGTAGTTAAGATCGTCTTACTTGGGTGATGATGGCTGTTTCACATGGGTAACAGCCACACTTGCCTCACAAATAATCCGAAAGTATGTTCATTTTTGCCAACCTCCTTGGAAGACTGTGTAGAGTGGTTTAAAGAAAATAGCATGGATAAATTTGGGAAACTCATTTATTTACTTTCTTCTCCACATTTCTTAGGAGAGCCAGTTGTGAAGTTAGTATCAGGGTAGATTTGGGGGGTAACTATTACATTGACAACGTGAGAGATCAAGAAGGCGAGAAAACCAGAGGACTATATGAGGGAATATGAAGGGGGGAGAATTCAGAAAAAGGTTTGATGTCGAAATGGAAGTACACTGTGCACCCTTAAGTAGATTGATTGACGATTTTGTAAATGATAAGTTAATCCACATGAGCAGGCTTGGGCACTCTAATCATGCATCCATTCTTATATTCATCAATTATGAAGTACTACATTTGGATCAAAGGTTGGGTTAAAAAGTTTCACTTGGACTGTTACCTTGATATAAATAAGAAATATTAAATAGTTAACTTATATATTAAACTTTATGATTTTGAAATTGTTCATAAATTCAGTCTAATTGAATTAAACTGAAATACTGAAGAGTCTATATTAGACAATTTTTATGTATACCATTTTCCTCAAAGAATTATTTTAATTAACTTTATTTATTTATTTATTTATTTTTAATTTGATCAGAAAGGGACAGAGAGAGAGAGAGAGCAAGAAAGTGAGAAAACAAGTCACCAGGTCCGGGACTTGAATTGTATTCATCCATGTGTGAGTCCAGAGTGCTTAACCACCACACTAGCACACATATACCCTTCTTTAAAAATGTGTGGATTTTTTTGTTGCTGTTATTTTTGCTATAAGATGCGGGAATTCACTAGAGACAGAGAGAGAGGGGGAGAGTGAGAAAGAACTTCTCAGGTGGATGGCCACACTGCAGTTGCTTCTCTTCCATTCTTCTCTTGGGATTTTGAACACATACACTCAGATACCTGGTGTGTTTTTTTGTTTGTTTGTTTTTATTTTATTTTTTTTCAAGTTGTTGGGTCTCAGACTCAAACTGCATAGTCGGCCATGTGGGATCCAGTCACCTTAATCACCATGCCCTCTGCTAGTCCCCCCAAATTATATTTTACTTTCAGTGTTTACAGTAAGTCAATTTAGTTTAACTATAGGTACAGGGGATTGGACTTTACTTAATGAAGATATTATTTAAAATCTTTAGTTGCAATATATGATTATATGATTTTTTTCTATATAAATATGCACTTACAATTTTATCTTCTTAGATAGGTTAGACACATCTATTATAATTCTTATTATGGTCCTAATTAACTTAATATATCTTTTTTTCAGAGTGATTGTAGACAGAAACTCCAGTTCTCATCAGTTTGCTACAATTCCACATTTGAACTATTATAGTGTGAAATTGTTATAAAATTTCATTTATTTATTTCTTCCATGAGAGAAAAAGGCACAGAAAGAGAGAGAGGGAGAGAATGAGAGAGAGACACTTCCAACAGGGTTTTCATACCACTGTCTATCCCCCGTCTCCGCCTGGATCATGGTATGTGCATGCCCAGTATGCACAGGGAGGTCCTAGGACATGAACCCAGTACCTTCCCATGTGTTCTGTTGCATTGTCACTTCACCACCACCTGGTCTCTGGTATGACTTTTGTTCCTCATTATATTAAGTTTTATGTTACCACCTAGTACTACCAGATAAATTCTACTGGTAGCTTGAGATGACTATACTATAGGTACTTGCTAGCAATTATGTATAAGGATCTTTTGTATACAATATGCTACTAGCACACCATAGTTTTTCCTTGCCCTGGGAAAACTTCTTTTCTTTATTGAAAGTCTATTCCATTGACACAGGAATATACTCATACTCTTCCTATGTCTAGTCCTTCCTCTTAAGGTATCTAGAATCCCAGTGAAAACAAATTATTCTAGAATCCCCAGTCCCTTATAGTTCTCTTTTCTTTTTCTCATTGGAGAAACACCAGTCAGCTGAAGAACGTAGACTTTGTCTGAGTCTGTTTCAGCTAACCTTTTATCCCTAAGAACTCAGAAAAAGCCTGACAAGAATGTCAAGACTATTCATGGTGTGGGGGAAGAGAGGCTGCTCTTTTCCCTCCAATCTTGGCTAAGAATTCTATAACCCTTGCATCTTTTTTTGCTTGAAGTTCATTTCCCCATTGATATTTGCAATCATAGGATTACGTGTTTTGTAGTTCAACTAAACACTTGACCCAACTATTTTTTCTACAGGAAAATGGGTTCCAAGTTTTAAGCAGCTGAGTGAAACTTAGTGTGAAACATCATTGACTTATTAGCTAAGGACCACTTATAAACCCTGACAACATGGGGCATCTTGATTTATATGAAATGGGTGAATAGGACAAAGTTAATTGAACTTCATTAATCTTAAATTGTGACCACTGAGATCCCAGTGTATTTTCTTAAAAATGTATTTTCTTAAAAACAAAAGATCTTTCTTCCTTTCTTCACACAATCTGTAAGAGTTCATCTACCAACTGATTAAATGTATCAGAAAATATTGAGTATCCTTTGAATATTCTGGGGGACAAGTAAGGTGTTGGCACAGTGAGTATTTCCTTATGTTCTGGCAGAGTTTGATAAGGTTTCTTATTCACAGTGCTTTTTCTTTTAATTTGGAAAATGTGCTTGGCTAACCATTTTCATAAATAAGAGAAGTAGGCATAATACCTGTGTGTGTGTGTGCATGCATATATAGTTACTAGCAAATGTATAAAATACTTACAGAAAGATGTATAAGAACCTGTAGCATGGGTTGCCTCCACTTAGACAAAGTGGGTTTCCTAAACACAAGAATAGGGAGATGACTAGGATTCACTCAGTAGCCTTCTAGACCACTTGGTTTTTGCACTACGTGACCGTTCTTACCACTCAAACAAATACAACTGAAAAAGAGGAAGAGAAGTCCTTGGCTGACACACCTCTGTATTTCATCCTGAGCATTAGTACCGAAGGAGATGTCTGATAGTCTGGGGTTCTCACTTGAGTGACTAGCTCCTTATGGCCCTCTGTACTTGCTTGGCTCACAGTATAGAATGAGTGATAAGTGATGGTAACCCAACTGCCCTTCACAGGAATGCTCAATGCCTCCTAGAGTGTCCCTGAAAGTGACTGTCCTTCTGATATACAAATTCCCTTTCTTCCACATGAACATTTGGGAAGTAAGTGCCAGGAGGAACTTGAGCAGCAACAGGAACTTGCTGTTTAAACAACTATCTTCAATATCATTGCTCCTGTGTGGGATGGAGTGAGGGTTTCCTGGAGAGTGAGGTTGATTTAGGGATCAGGGATCAGCTGCTGAGGCTGGCACTTGGAAAAGACAAGCCAAGCATTCACATCCCAGACCACTCAATACCAGCATTGTCTCCTATCCATCTTTCGTAAGGGGATTCCGACAGGGGGAGGGGATAGAGGAAGAAGGGAAAGTAAATTATTTTAATTCCATAAAGAAAATGCAGGAGAACAGAAAGAATGAACAGCGTATGAATAAGAAAAGCCAGTGGCCAGGAATGTGTAGTTTGAAGTCAACGTTGGTTTTTAACCTTAGACTCCACTGTCAAGTTTCTTGTTTTTAGTTCCTTGTCCCATCTTTCAGGAGCACCCTTATCCCCACCCCCAATGCATCTCATCCTTTTCTGCTTCACTCCTTGGGTTGGTCAAGGTTTGCATCTCTCCTTCCTAACTCCTTTTCCTTCTTTCTGCACCCTTTTCCTCTCTTTTCCTGGACTTTCTCCTATTATTTTATAGCTTACATTCCTCTCCTCCGTTCCTGTCTCTTTTACGGCACCTCTAAGCTCCATTCCCTCTTCTTAAGGAAATCAGCCAGGCCTCAGATGGAGCTGTTGTCCTGACAACCTAAAGGCGCATCAGGCTTTCATTGAGGCTGGCTGCTGCTGAAGGGGGCAGTTGTGCAAAGCGAGGGGCCACGCCGAGGGGAGGGAGGAGGGGATGACGTGGAGGGGCTGTTGAAAACCAGCGGGGTGGGGGGAGGTGCTGAGCAGAGAGAGAGAGAGAGAGGGACTGGAGGGAGAAACAGGAAAGGGAGGCGGGAGAGAGACTCTGGGCTGCTGGTGCTGCTGCTGCTGCTGTGTGGCTGTTTCTTCACTCACTGGCTGGCTTGGTACCGGCTCCCTCGCCCGCCCGCCAGCCCGCCTGGGAAAGTGGGTTACGGAGCGAAGGAGCTCAGCTCAGACACCGGCAGAGGAGCATCCAGCCACTGAGAGACCAGAGAAGCACTCCATCCTTTGGCATCTTTCTTTCATCTTTTTTAGAGGGTTTTATATTTGCACTCTCTTTTAAAATTTTGTTCCTTTGACTTTTCCTCGGTCTGCTTGGGTTTTATGAAGGCTTTGTTAAGTCTTAGAGGGGAAAGGCACTGAGCGAGGGCGAGAGAGAGAGAGAGAGAGAGAGGCAAAGTGCAAAGGACCACAAACTGGACAAGCCCGTTCTGCCTCCCCTGTTGATGAAAGCCCTGCATTTGTAAAGCCCTCTCCGCGGCGCCAGCGCGCACACACACCCCTCCAGAGTACACCGCGGACCCGCAACTCGGCGTGGCCACCATGGTCGGGAGAGTTCAGCCTGATCGGAAACAGTTGCCGCTGGTCCTACTGAGATTGCTCTGCCTTCTTCCCACAGGACTGCCTGTTCGCAGCGTGGATTTTAACCGAGGCACCGACAACATCACCGTGAGGCAGGGGGACACGGCCATCCTCAGGTAGGGCTCTCGGGCAACTTTTCTGCTGCGCACATTTCTGTGTGTACATGTGTGTTTGTGTGTGTGCATGCCTGATCTCATTGAACTCCAGCTCTGGATGCTGCAGGCTATCGTGTGTGTGTGTGTGTGTGTGTGTGTGTGTGTGTGTCCCTTTTACTGACTGGCGGATGTAGCAGCCAACAAAATTCAAGAGAATTCTGGTCCCTGTCAAGGACCAGTGGTGCTAGTTGTATGTTGGTTCTTGGGACCTTGTTTCTCTCATCAAGGAAACCCAACTTCGCTGATGGCATTAGCGACATGTGGGCAGCGTTTTGCTTTTGTAGTTGCTGAGGTTTTGCACTTTACCGTTGTGTCGGGGTTCTTTAATTTGGAAAGAGGAGTTGTTGAATTATGGCTGAGGACAGTACATAGTACTGCATTTCCTTTGCTCTTCGTGTGTGTGTGTGTGTGTGTGTGTGTGTGTGTACATCAATCAAAGCTCTCATTCTGCCATAGCAGTAGTTCTGCTAGAAGTCTTTCTACAGGATCTTTTAATTGGCATAGAGGGCAATAAATCACTCTTAGAACTTTGGCTGGTCACTGAGTCTTTTCTGGAATGTAGATAGAAATCAACACAGAATGAAGAGAAGGAAAAAAAAAACTTGCTAAATTGCTGGCATTTAAGAATAGGAGTATTAAGCCCAGAGGTTGGGAAAGAATTAACCTGACATAAAATGGCATAAAATTTCAAATTAATCATTTGACTTCAAAGTGTCATCTTTGTACAGCTCTGCCCAACTCTGAAATATAATTTGGGATTAACATTTGGAAAGGAAGAGCCCCAAGACCTTGGGAGTTTGACCCCTACAAGGGACAGTGAGTAAGAGAGACTTGAATGGCACCTAGTCATAATTCTATTTCTGAAAAGCTCCAAGATGCTTTTCCTGTGTTTCTTTTCTCTCTTTCCCCTCTCCACCCACTACATGCCCCTTGTCCTTTTTTGTTTGTTTGTTTCTAGCTTTCCTTGAATTTCTGGCAGATGCAAAAAAAAAGAGAGAGGGAGAAAAAAAAGAAAGAAAGAAAATAATCTCCTTAGAGATCTTTTAAAATCTCATTTCCTCCAAATAAAATGACTTGGTGTCGGTTTGTCTATCTAGCTAATATTGCTTGTTGTGGCAATAAAAAATAGTATATGACAGAAAATAAACCTCTAATCTGTGTGCGAGAAGCTGATAGTGCATAAACCCTGGGGCATCCAGGGAGCAGTTCCCGTAGCAGAGCTGCAGACAGCAGCAAAGTTTTCTTTCCTTTTCTCTGAAATAAATTTGGTTGGCTGTCACAGAGTGTCCTGCTTTGGGATCTTTAGCCTTGTTAGAGAGAAACGCGTGTGTGTGGTGTGGTGTGTGTGTGTTCACACGCATGTATTTTGTGTCTGTATACGTTGCTCCAGATTGTAAAAAGTAAAAAAAAAAAAAAAATGCTAATGTGTAAGTCCTCCTTTTTTCATTTCTTTAGCATTGGGTGATTATGAATCCCAAAGATCTTACTATCCAAAGCAGATTTTCCCTGCCGACTCTCTAGCCTTGTAAACCTGCATGTATGATTTATCCACATGGAGTAATAAGATTTATAGTGTAATTTATCTGTTGGCAAAGGGATTTGGACAGGATGTACAAAATGTTTTTGCAAACACACGAGCATGCTACCTCAACTGCTAATGTTCACATTCTCTAGCATCATTAACCCTTTATCGATGAAGTACTGTATATAAATCGATGCTTTACCTAGAACTATTACAAGATTGAATATGAGAAAAGTGGTATGGTATTCACAGATGTTTGCATGTCTTACTTAAACATCCATGACCTTTGTATGGTGTTTTAAAGTTAGCAGCTCCTATACCTTAACTTACAGTGGGCTAAGAGAGTTAGCTAGGCATGTAAATATTAATTCAGAAGGAAGGCATCCTCATTTTATACAGTACATACATTGACGTTCCGTCTCCAAGAGACAGTCTCGCTACATAAATCTCTGTATGTGATATGTGTCTGCTTCCATATGTTTATGGCTCATGATAAATGGAGTTTTAAAACATTACACTTTAGTACACATTACAGTGTAGAAATGGGGCAGTGAGAACAGTGAATAAGAACAGAACCAGTTATTCTCTGAGAAAGAGAAGGTGGACAAACAGCATGCAAATAAGTCACTTAACAGAGGGCCTTGCTTCCCCAGGCCTCACCTAACATGCCCTCTGTTTTATTTCCTTTGGTTTGGACAGGCTCTTTGGGGGGTTGGTAGAGCTCTATCACAAGTAACTATGGAGAGAGTTCCCTTGGTTTTGTAGCTGACCTTCTCAATCTCTTTAACTGAATCCAGTACGCTTTGTGGGTCAGTTTCCTGGTGAAGAATGGTGCTCTTGCTTTCTGTTCACAAGTGCAGCCTGGGAAAGGCGTGCTTCCACTTTACTTGTGACATTTTGCTGGGATCATGAGCTTTCAGGGGAGGAGAGGAAGGGGAACTTGATTCACTGGAAGCCACAGTAGATGGTTGGCGCTGAGAAAGTAAAATGGCAAGGAGAAAAATATCCTCTCTCAGTGAGTCTGCGGCCCTGAATAATCTGAAATGGCAACAGGAGACAAGGGAGGATTGTAATTCTGCTGGTCCAGTGACAGGAGTTTGGCTGATGGTCCCCCAAACATTTACCTTCGCTGCCTTATTTGCATAAAACAAGTATTTCTTTTGAGAAATGGTGTTTATTTTTGTGCAATTATGATCTTTAGTATAATTGTGCATCATGATAGGAGAGTTCATCTTAGTTCTGGAGTCTTGCTCTGTAATTTCTACCTTGTCCAAAAACTAATGAAGACTGCAGAACTGTGGTATCAAAACTGGAGAGAAAGAGAGATAGCCTCATATACTTACCAAACCTGGTTCTTTTCCAGAGGAGGTGTCAGATCTTTATGAAGAACTGTATATAAAACTAAAAATCATTATCACCAACTCCATCTTAAGCCTTAGGAATCAGTGTGATCTACAGACCGGTGGTGGCAGTAGTAGCATCTAAGGCTTCTTCCTAGATCAAGAGAACCAGAACTTGCATGTACATGTGAATGTACAGAAAAATACAAGACATACTTATCCACAAAGCTTTGTTGGTGAAGCAGCCTCAGATATTTTCTAAACAGAGCCCACCTGCCTCACTGCCATAATTGTATGAGTTCCTCAATTACTGAATGAGTTTCTAGCACTGATTCGTCAAACCCTGTTTTAATTCATTACATTGCTGGGACCAGCAGTTAGCGTAACGGCTATGTCACTGGACTCCCACGTAGTCGACCATGGTTCAAGTCCCGGACCCGGTGGCTTAAACTCAAGCCAGGCGTGTGTGCATGCATGCCCAAGATCCCGAGAGGAGAATGGAAGAGAAGGAAATGCGGTGTGGCCATCCCCCCTGGGGGGTGATTTCTCGCTATCTCTCTGTCTCTCTCTGTCTGGCGAGCGCACGCACTCTATAGCAAAAACCTCTCAAAAAAAATTTCATTACATTGCTAATAACAGAAATGCATGGGTCTGGGTAACATAAAGAGTAGTCGTTTATTTGGTTTATAGTTAGGGAGACTGATGTTAAGAGATCATATCTGGTAAGGGTCTTGCTGCAGCGGGGGAATCTCTGCAGAGACAGTGCAATAGTATACATGGGTCTGTGTTCGTGAGTCTGTGTCTCATTCCACCAGGCTTCAGTCATGAAGTCTCCACCCTGATGACCTTTATTCTAATCTTCTCTAAGCGCCCATGTACCTTTTTACTTCTTAAAGAAAACAGAGAGAGAGAAGTTATTTATTTATTTGTTGATTAATTGATTGATTGGAAGAGGGCATATTAGCTCAACAGAGACAGAGACAGAGAGAGTGAGAGTACACCCCATAATAGGCATGGTCACACTGCTATCCTTTTTCTTCTATTTCTTCATCCTATCAGGATTTTGGCAATGCTCGCACACGTACCTGGTGTGCTTTTCAAGCTTCTAGGGCCGGCCAGGATTTGCGCTGTGGTCGGCCATGTGCTATATGGTTCTCAATAGATAGGGCTTACCAAATTTCAACACTTGTATTATGGGGGTGCATTTTCAAACCACAGCAAAATCTGTACCCTCACAAACAGGCACCACACAAAGTCATCTCCTGCATAATCTTGGCAAGTTGAGACCATTAGTCTAGCTCTATTGACAAGTCAAAGAAAAATAAAAACAGAGAGAGAGAAGTTATTTATTTATTTGTTGATTAATTGATTGATTGGAAGAGGGCATATTAGCTCAACAGAGACAGAGACAGAGAGAGTGAGAGTACACCCCATAATAGGCATGGTCACACTGCTATCCTTTTTCTTCTATTTCTTCATCCTATCAGGATTTTGGCAATGCTCGCACACGTACCTGGTGTGCTTTTCAAGCTTCTAGGGCCGGCCAGGATTTGCGCTGTGGTCGGCCATGTGCTATATGGTTCTCAATAGATAGGGCTTACCAAATTTCAACACTTGTATTATGGGGGTGCATTTTCAAACCACAGCAAAATCTGTACCCTCACAAACAGGCACCACACAAAGTCATCTCCTGCATAATCTTGGCAAGTTGAGACCATTAGTCTAGCTCTATTGACAAGTCAAAGAAAAATAAAAACAGGTAGTGTTCCAAACTGGTCTTTAAACTTTCACTTTAAATTGTTTCCCTGACCATATTTTTCATATCATTAGCATATATCTAGGAAGATAGTTATAAAATACTTGATATTAAAAAGCTATGTTATAATAGTTACATAATGTATTATCATATATGTATTTATAAGGCAACTTGGTAAAATTTACATATACATGCATATCTGGACATCTAGCATAAGTACATATGTGATAAACTGCAGAGGTGTCACATTGTTATGACTTTGCATATTCAAAATTTGAGGTATTGAAATTTGAATTATTCCAGATTTGAGATATTGAAATTCTGACCCTCTTTTATATTTACA